AAAAAAAAAAAAAAGTTCCCAGGAAGGGCCCTCCCTGGTGGTGCAGAGGGTTAAAGCACAGCACTAAGAAGCTAAAGCCACTTCAGCATGAGTTCGATCCCTGCCTGCCCCGGAGTTGACCCACATGGTGCGGCAGACCTCTCCTGACCCGCCTGCTGCTCCCTCAGCAGTGTATTTCATTAGTTGGCCTGTTCTGCTCCCCACTCTGTCTCTGGTGAATCCTCTCATTGCCCCTGCACCTCTGGCCTGTACCCTAGTTCTGTATGCATAAATAAATAAATCTTAAAAAAAAAAGTTCCCAGGAAATTCTAAAATATAGCAAAGTTTGGGAGCCACTGAAATACAGTATTTCTACCTTACCCAAGATTTTTCCAACTCATAGGTTTCATGGAGGGCATCCTTTCAGATTCTGCTGATTATATAAGGTGTGCTTCTCCATCTCAACTGAGACCTTTCCAACTCCATCCACCATCACCCTTTGTAATTCCATTAGGTCAGTTCCAGGAAGGCATGGATGACTCAATCTCTGTTATATTCTCAGCACCTGTAACAAGGAGGCACAGTGCAAACACTTGATGACTATTTGATAAATGAATTTTCCTTCTTTTTTAATTTTAAATGCTTGTACTAGAAATAAAAGTTAAAACCAGGAACAGTTTATACTTTAAGAGGCTTAAATAGAAACAGCAGTATAAGGCTTGAAATGAAAGATAATTTAAATAAGTGAAGCTAATATACCATGTTGATGGATAGGAAGACTCGATATTACTAATTCTCCCCAAACTGATGCACAGGACATATTGTGAAAACTAAAAGCTGATTCTGAAATTTAGGTGAAATGTATAGGACCTAGAAGTTTCAAGATAATCTTGAAGAATAAAGTTAGAACACTTACAATACCAGATAGAAAAATTATAAAAGTTTGTTGTTATGTCAGAGTAGCACTAACCCAAGATTAAACAAACAAGCCCGCAGACTGAATACGGAATACAGAGAGACCAACATACATATGGACACTTAATTTCTAATACAGATACTATAATTTAGGGGCAGGAGATAATTATTTCAGTAAATGATATTGAATCAATTGTATGTCTACTTTTAAATGCATGAATTATAAATGATATGGGGAAAGTGAACTTGAACATTTATCTCATACCATACACAAACATTTGTTTCACATTCAGAACTAAACAAGAGATGTTAAACAACAAACTACAGAATAATACAGGAGAAAATTGTCATGATCTTGTTGGCAAAGATATCTTAATCAGACACCAAAAAAAGCATTAGCCACAAAACTGAAAAAAAGATAAATTAGGACCTATTAAAATGAAGAACTTCTGTACTATTATTCATCAAAATGCATGATGGAGAGAGTGAAAAGACAAGCTACAGGATGGGAGGCAACTCTGACAGTACATTTATCTAACAAAAACACTAGTGTTCAGAATATCTGAAAACAATTCCTACAAATAAACAAGGGAAAGACAGTTCATAGGCTATCTAAATGGACTGACAAGAATATGTACGTGTTCTACATCATTTGTTATCCAGGAAATGCAAATTGAAACCATTATTAACTTTTATTGCATGTACACCACAATGACTAAAACTAGAGTGTGTTGGCAAACAGCAAATGGAAGTTTGATGTATTGTTGGTGGGAGTATATGCCGAACTATTTGGCAATGTCTATTAAGACTAAACATAGCCTACTCTATGACACAACAAGGTAATTTATCCAAGAGAAATGAGCACATGTATCCATCAAAGACATGCTCATAGCAAGAATGGTCACAGCAGCTTTATTTATAAAACCTCCAAGTTGAAATCAATCGAAACATCAATAAGCAGGAGAATGGATAAATCAGCTGTGGTTCATTCATCCAATGACATGTTTCTCAGTGATAAAAATGCAAACTAATGTGACAACATGGCTAATTCTCATAAACAAAAGAAGCCAGGAAGAAAGAATGACTACTATTTGATTCTATTTATATGAAATTCAAGAACTTCAGGCAAAAGTATTCTATCATAATAGAAGACAAATCAGCAGTTACTTTTTTTTTTGGGAGTGGGATCTTGACTGGAAGGAACCCAAAGTAGTTTTTTTGGGGTGCTGTAAATATTTAATATCTTGACCTAAGTGTGGATCATACAAATGTTACAAATATTAAAGATTCACTGATAGTGAAATAAATCAAATGACAAAGACAAACACCATATGATTTCTTTCATGTGTGATAGATGGAGAAAACTAACAGAGTAATTAAATAAAATGAAAACAAGCTTAACTGTTAAGACTTCATGGAGGGGGAATGGGATTGGAACTGGGGTGGGAAGAGTGCACGGGACTGTGGTGATGGCACACGGGTGAACTGGTGGTGGGAAGCCGAAGGGGATTACAACTGAGATGGAAAAATACACAAAATGAGGAACAATTAAAAAAAAAAAAAAAGATGGATTCATGGTCACCAAAAGGGAAGGGGGGAAGGAGTGGTTAAACTGGGTAAAAGGGGTCAACTGTATGGTGAAGGCAGAAATGCATTAGAGTGGTGAACTTAATGCCATATACGGGCAAGCTGATTTTAATGATTCACACATTATGTAACATTATTATTATTATTTTTTAAAAGATTTATTTATTCATATAGAACTGGGCAGAGATGCGGAGGGTGAGAGGATTCACCAGAGACAGAGAGAGGAGCAGGACAGGCAGATCATGCAGCCACTTCAGCATGAATTTGATCCCCCACCAGGGAGGTGGCCCACATGGTGTAGCAGACTTCTCCTGTCTCGCCCGCTGCTCCCCTCAGCAGTGCATTTTTTTTTCATTTTTTAACAGTTTATTTTTACATCATTTTGTTCATTCCCCCCCCCATCTCAATGTAATCCCCGTGGGTTTCCCATCACCATGTCACCATGTGCCATCACCAAAATCCCGTGCACTTCCCTCCCCACCCCCCCATTTTTGATCCCATTCCCCACTTCACCCCCGCAAAATGTCTCTGGTATATGGTTGTTCATTATTTTTGTTATTTTCTCGCCTGGTCCATTATACTCCTGCTATGAGTGAAACCATCCGGTATTTTTCTTTCTCTTTCTGGCTTATCTCACTAAGCGTGATCTTTTCCAGCTCCATCCAAGTTGCTGCAAAAGACATGTGTTTCTCTTTTTTGGTTGCTGAGTAATATTCCATTGTATATATGTACCACATCTTTTTTATCCAGTCATCTACTTTTGGGCATTTGGGCTGTCTCAGCAGTATATTTTAGTCACTCTGCCTGCTCTGCTCCCCACTCTGTCTCTGGTGAATCCTCTCACCACCCTTGCACCTCTGGCCTGTACCCCAGTTCTGTTTGCATAAATAAATCTTTTTAAAAATGTAGGCAATAAAAATTCAGTGGGCATAAATTACATTGCAATGTTGTAAAAGCATCACCAGTTTTCCAAACTTTTTTTTCCAAAACTTTTTGAGCCCCCCAAACAGAAACTCTACATCCACTACACAATAGTCCCTTTCCTTCCTCCCCACTCCCCAGCTCCTGGTAAACTAATCAAATTTACCTCTCTGATTTTGTCCTCTCTAGGTATTTTCTGATAATGGAATTACACTATATTTGTTTTTTGGTGTCTATGGCTTCCATTTAGTTATGTGTCAGAGCGATTAAAGTGGAAAAAAACAGAGTGGAAAATTCCACTGTTCATGTACAATACAGCATTTTGTTTATTCATTCACCTATTGAAGGATACTTGGACACTTTCTACTTGTTGACTATTGTAAATAATGCTGCAGTGAACACTGGTGTAAGGTGTCTGAGTTCCTGTTTTCAAGTGTTTGGGGTCTATAGCTAAAAGTGAAATGGCTGGACATGGCAATTCTATAGAAAGTGTTTTCCACATAGATGATACCATTTTTACATACCCCACAGCGAGGCATGGTAGTTTCTTTCCTTCTTTATTTGTAGCCAACCAAGTAGGTATGAGGTGATGTCTTGTGGCTTTGATTTGATTATTCCTAATGACATTTTCCAGTACTTATTCCTCATTTATGTTTCTTCTTTGGGAAATGTCTTTCCAATCATTTGTCCTTTTGTTATTCTTGTGGGGTTCTTTATATAGTGTGGATATTAACTTTTTATCAGATACCAACTCATAAGTTGATTGTCTTCACTTTCCTGATCTTTTCTTTTGAGCATTTTTTTTTTATTTTAATGAAGCCCAACTTACGTTTTTTCTTTTGTTGTTTATGATTTTGGTGTCATATCTAAGAATTCCTTGCCAAGTTTTGCTTGATTTTGAGCTCTATAAAAAGGTAATCATCCTGAAAGTATCTTCTGGAGCTTAACAGCTTTCTTTCAAAATATTTATAAATCATCCAGGTTCTTTCATTTTTCACAGCAGTATAATATTCTGTCATGTGAATATACCACATATCACTTACCTATTTCCCTAATAATGGACATTTGTGTTGTTTACAGTTATTTTTGCTATTAAATCAGTGCTACCATGAAATTCCAACATGATTATTTCATGTATTCTCGAATCACTGAACTCTTTTTTAAAAAAGATTTATTTATTTATACAGGCCAGAGATGCAGAGGGTGAGAGGATTCACCAGGGACAGAGTGGGGAGCAGAACAGGCAGATCGACGAAGTACACTGCTGAGGGGAGCAGTGGGCGGGTCAGGAGAGGTCTGCTGCGCCATGTGGATCTCCTCTGGGGCAGGCGGGAATCGAACTCATGCAGAAGTGGCTTTAGATTGTCAGTGCTGTGCTTTAACCTGCTGTGCCACCAGGGAGGGCCCACTGAACTATTTTTAATGGGGAAAAAAAAGCCTCCTATTCAGATGCTATTAAATTTCAGTTGAATAGTACTTGAGATACATAGGTGCAGCTATTTTCCTGAAACATGTTGATTTATACCATTTTCCTACTTGGAATCAATGCCACTGAGTTTGGTGTATGTCAGCCCACAATATAGCTTTAACCAATTTCTTGCAAAGAGCAATCAGAGAATACACAAGTAAATGTTTTACTGATTTCAGGTTGGAAAGCTTTATGCAACAGGAGATGTCAACACATGGGCAGAGGGACAATTGTGAAAAGGAAACACTTTCTTTAGGGCCCATTTTCAACCAGCTTTCAGGGGTGTCTCCAAGGGGTTTGAAATAACCCTAAGCAGGGCTTTTTTTCACTGCTGAAAAGGTTCCAAAACAAAGAGACACAGACTGACGGTAATGCCTACAGTCCTGTACAGTGGCTAGTTTCGGGAAACAATTTGGCAGCTGCACAATTCCATGATGTTGCCAGGTTTCTCTGGGGCTTGTGAAAGAACACCAGGGGAAACTCTAAGCATGAAGCAAGGGCTTGACTCTTCACAGACATGTTTGTGGCTCTATTACTGGAAAAGGCCAGTGACCTCAACAAGGCCACAGTTGTGTAGACACAGGAATTACAAAATCAAAAAAGGGGTGGGATGAAATATGGAGGCATAAAAGTACTGGCAGGTGCCTCCACAGCACCGCTCTTCCAGAAAGAGAACAAACCAAAGATGAGGTGAGTCCACAGATCTTCTGTTCCCGACTTTCTTCTGGCTAATCTCAACCTTCTTTGCTATCATCTTTTATAGAAGCCCATAGAAGAGCTGCCAATTAAAGAAATATGGCAAATGGCTAACAACAGTGAATGGAAGGGTTTAGTGAGTTCAATCCTCTGCTTTTCTGTGTCCAGAGCTCTTTCTGAGGAGATATGATTCACTTCAAGAACATTCTCTTTCCTTGGAGTTTTGAAGTTTTCCAGCAGCATCCATGATAGGCTTCCTGGCATTTTAAAGATATTTACTATTAGATTATTTTTCTTTTAAAAAGTGTGTAAGAAGTATGACAGTATGACATGTTTGAATGACACAGGTAAGGTACTGCAATTTCATCAAAATAAAATGAATTTTTGTTGAGATGACTAAAATAGCAATGTAACATCAACAAGCAACCTGATTGTTGACATGAAATGGTGGCCTGGCAAGTGTCACATCCATGTGGGGTCATGCGTTCAGGAGGTATATTATCTTCCCAGACTTTGTCTGGCATTTTGGGAAATGCTGTATTATTTCCTGAAGGCAAATGATCATACAATAGAAACAAGTATATAATTGTTTTAAATTATGCATTTCAAAAGATTCTTCTGGAAGATCCCCTTCTTATGGGAAAGTATAGCATGGTTAATATTACATCCCCATCTTTAAAAGTATCCTTGTAGGGCCCTTTCTGGTGGCACAACAGGTTAAAGCATAGCACTATGAAGCTGCCTGCAGCCACTGCAGCATGAATTCCATTCCTGACCAGGGAGGTGACCCATCTGACACAACAGTCCTCTTCTGTCTCACCCACTGCTCTCCTCAGCAGTATTTCAGCTACTCTGCCTGTTCTGCTCCTCACTCTGTCCCTGATGAATCCTCTCACCCATCTGCATCTCTGGTCTGTACCTAAGTTCTTGTATGTATAAATAAGTAAATCTTTAAAAAAAAATCCTTGTAACCTGGCACGTTAAAGGTGCCTGAGGGAGGTTTCTAAGCTGAGAATTCACATGCTTTTACCAATTTCATGAATCCCTGAATGCTCCCAGAAATTGAGGCCCCACACCTGTGTGCCTTTGATCTTGGTGCTTCCTCTCTAAAGCTTCTTTTGAATACCTGGCAGTACAGAACTTGCTGGAACCTGGGTATAATGGGAAGCTGTAAATATGGATATGGGTGGGTTGGGCCACCTTCTTGGTCCTAGTACCAAGAAGCTGTATCTAGCTTCTTCCCCTACTAGCTAGTGGGAGGAGCATGTGTGCTACAGTGCGTGATATGTATATGGTATGTGTTGTGTAAAGAAGCAGGGGATCACGTGTGCACTCCTTTCTGTCTGTCTCCTCTCTGCAGAGTGCTGGGAGTAGCCGTTGCCCTCCTACTCTGTGGGCAGCTTTTTGCAGATGTTGGCAATGAGGTCACAGATACGACAGGTAGGACTGTGGGGTTGGGCAGGAGCAGCAAACCTCAACATTCTGCCTCTCCTTGGGGAGTTGCAGTTGTCCCTTCTCAATACTAGTCGCTGGTCTTTCAGCGCCATGAAGGACATTGGGGAGCTAGCCAGAAGGGTGATGGTCTTTCCTTTGGCTTCCATTTGGGGGTGGAAGGAGGCTGGCCCAGAGAGGAGCTTCCTCTCATCTGACTTTTCATGAGTTTCTGGGAGCAACCTCCATATATGAACCTCATTTTGCTGTATTTCTTCCCAGATGACAGCTGCCCAAAGCCCCCTGAAATTGCAAATGGCTATGTGGAACACATGGTTCGCTATGGGTGCAAGCCCTACTACAGACTGCGCACTGAGGGAGATGGTGAGAGTCAGAGGAGAACATCTGTGCCCTCCCACACCCTGCATACCACCATGAAGAGAGCATCTGACTGGCCAGAAGTGCACCTGTTTTTCGAGTTTTAGAAAATGAGTTTTGTCACCAGGCGTTGCTGCCTTTGAACAATTAACTTTCCTTGGCTTCAAGTTTTTGCTTTTGTTAAGGGGAGGCGATGGTTCCTTGTCTCCAAAGGGGATGTGGCTGAAGAACAAGGGGTGGAAATGAGGCCAGGCAGCCTTTCCTAGCATGTTCATCCTTCCTGGCATGAAGGGCTTCACCCTCACTTGCTCACCTAGTCCTCACACCACCTGCTGAGCAGATACTATTATTTTCATAAAGCTCAGACAGGCTGAGACTGAGAAGCCGCTTTAGATTGGAGTCTGTGAGAGGGAGCCAGGATTTGAGCCAGTCCCCACCAGGGCTGTGGTTACTGCTCTGTGCTGCTGTGTTTTTTCACTGGCACCCCAAGTACTGGGCTTCCAGTATAGAGTGCACCTCTCCCCTCACTTTCCCTTCTTTCTCTCCCTTTCCCTTCTCTGAGTCTTCTTTCCCTTCTCTGAGTAGTCTTTTTCAATTCCTTCTCTCCCCATGCTGGTCCAGATTCAGTTTCTTCTCCTTTGTTTCAGGAGTGTACACCTTAAATGGCGAGAAGCAGTGGGTCAATAAGGCCCTTGGAGAGAAGCTTCCTGAATGTGAAGCAGGTAGGAAGCTTGGGGTGCTGGGCAGCAGGGTGAGTGGTGAGGGCCGAGTGAGCAAGCAACCCTCAGCTGAACTCTCCAGGGAGCTGCCCTTCCTATGTGGCTGTGAGCATGAGAACCAAGAGAAAGGGCTGGGGGAGAATCCAAGACGGCTGGGTGGGAAATTCAATGATGACCCTGATGTCATTAGGGTTTGTGTTCATGTGAGCCTGAGGGCCATTAACTGAATCAACTGGAGACACTGCCCGCAGAGGGTCAGGTGTCCCCGTGTACAGACAGCCTGCCCAGAGAGTCCAGGGTCAAGGTGAAGCAAGATCCTGGAAGAGGGTTGCAAGGGAGGGCCTAACATACCTGTGGCAGTATGACACAGGAGGCTGGGGAAGGAGTGGACGTGTGTGCTGTGTCCTGTCATTAGGAAGAGTCATGAAACCTCACCATTCCCCCCTGGGACAACAGGACTGCTTCAGTGATGAGGAACTGCCAACCTGCCTTGAACTGTCACCTGAGGCAGAACGGCTGCTGCTGTGGATCTCTAGAGGACATTTTTTGCTCAGATCCAGTTTTCTTTAACTCTGTGCCTTTACAGCGAATTTCATTTCTTTGTTGTGTTAAACACAAGTCCATCTGCTAGGGTTTTAAAATCTTGGTTGTCTCCTTTATGAGTTACAAAGGCAGGAAGTAGATCTTAGTAGTGTAAACAGTTAAAAAAAGCCAATTATTTAGAAGTGCAAAGGGTGGCAATGAGAGTAGGTGGTAAGGACCCAGGCTGGGGTCTCTCTGACTCTGCATTAGTGATGACGAGATGAGCCTCCACCACAGTCCATGTGCTCAGCCCCCTCTTCCAGATCAGGAGATTGTCATTTCTGAGCCTGACTTTCTGCTTTCTTGGACAGTATGTGGAAAGCCTAAGCATCCAGTGGTTCAGCTGCAACGGATCATAGGTGGATCTCTGGACGCCAAAGGCAGCTTCCCGTGGCAGGCTAAGATGATCTCTCACCATAATCTCACTTCGGGGGCCACACTGATCAGTGAACAATGGCTGCTGACCACAGCTAAAAATCTCTACCTGGGTCACACGAAGGATGCAAAAGCAAAAGATATTGCCCCAACTTTAAAACTCTACTTGGGGAAAAATCAGCTTGTGGAGATCGAGAAGGTGGTTTTCCACCCTGACATCGCCAAGGTGGACATTGGGCTCATTAAACTTAGACAGAAGGTGCCCATCACAGAGAGAGTGATGCCCATCTGCCTGCCTTCCAAAGACTATGCAGAAGTGGGGCGTGTGGGCTACGTGTCTGGCTGGGGGCGGAATTCCAACTTCAATTTTACTGAGCATCTGAAGTACGTCATGCTGCCTGTGGCTGACCAAGACAAGTGTGTGGAGCACTACGAAGGCAGCACGCAGCCTGAAAAGAAGACACCAAAGAGCCCTGTGAATGTACAGCCCATACTGAATGAGAACACCTTCTGTGCTGGCTTTTCCAGGTATCAGGAAGACACCTGCTATGGTGATGCGGGCAGTGCCTTCGCTGTTCATGACGTGGATCAGGACATCTGGTATGCAGCTGGCATCCTAAGCTTTGACAAGAGCTGTACTGTGGCCGAGTATGGCGTGTATGTGAAGGTGTCCTCCATCTTGGACTGGGTTCAGAAAACCATAGCTGACAACTAGTGCAAAGCTGGCTGGAAGCACTTAAGATTTAGCTCTGGATGGGGGAAAACTAGATGGGAGCCAGGGGATATAGTGGGATGAGCTGGTGGGTCCCCATCCTGCACTGCTGAGTCAATCAATAAAGAGATATTTTAACTTCATTTCTGTGCTGTTTTTAGTCTTGCATTTTTAAAAAAGATTTATTTATTTATGCATACAGAACTGGGGTGCAGGCCAAAGGCAGTGAGAGGATTCACCAGAGACAGAGTGGGAAGCAGAGCAGGGTGACTGACGAAGTACACTGCTGAGGGGAGCTGTGGGAGGGTCAGGAGATGTCTGCTGTGCCATGTGGATCTCCTGCGAGCTGGGGATCATTGCTTTGCAGCTAGCTTGCAGTGCTGAACTTTAACCTGTTGGGCCACCAGAGAGGGCCCTCTAGTGTCCTTTCTAGTCTCTACTTTAAATCACAGCAACACTAGGGATGTAGCAGAAAACACCAGCTTGCAGGAGCCCCGCTTTCACCCAACAGAAAGGCCACTGTTATCCTTGACAACAGGTGAGTGGAGAGACTCAGAGGTGCAGTGATCTGCTGAAGGTTACACAGCCACCAGATAGCAATGCTGACTGACTCCTGTCTGCCTGAATACAAACCCTGAACTTTTTCCTGTATTCTTTTGCTTCATGGTAGTAAAATGAGAGAAGGGGCGGTCTGGCAAGGAAGGTGGTAGCTCAGAGTGGGATGGAAACCAGTGTGTGGCAGTTTTCCAACACCCCAGCACTTGAGGAAGCAAAGCTTCAGGTGGTGACACATGGTCTGACTCAGGCCATGACACAGGCCAACCAGGGCTTTTGCTCCTTCCCACCAGTCCCTGGTCTCTTCCATGAGGGCTTAAGCAGACATCTCTGCAGCCCCTAGCAGCACTAAGATTCTGGGATGTGGAAAGACGCATAAGTTTCTCCCAGCAGGGCTGCTTTTCCTACTTGAGAGAGAGCCACCCTTTACCAGGAGTCAAATGCAAGATGTCTAAGCTGTCCACATCAAGATTAGGGTCCTGCTATTTAGGGTCATTCAGAAGAAAGATTCCAGGGCCCTTGTAAACAGGAAGCCCTTCTAATGACTTCCCTGCTGGCCCTTCACTGATGCACCTACTTGTCCTCCCTAAATATGGCCTCTCCTCAGGGTGCAAAATGCCAAAGACATTCCTTCCCTTGCCGTGGCCTTGCCTTCACTGTGAACTTCTCATATGCACCCTCCAGATTATTGATAATTTTCAACAGATTTGGGCTAGACCAATGAAGGATTCAGATCTACATTATAGAACATGTGAAATTAACAGCTAGAAGCAGAAAAAAAAAAAAAAAAGAAACAACAAAACCTACGTAAGAAATAGCTCTCAGAATAGTTACAGCTTTTTCTTCTGGTAGTGTTGCCGGCACTAAAGTTTCCTAAAGAATAAACACCCAGTTTCCTTGAAGAATTATCCAATGGCATTATGTGGTCACCAGGTCAGGAAGAACATGGCATTTTCTCAATTCACTTACCCTTTCTGCCTTTCTCTCCACAGCACCTCTGGTCTCCTCACCCTTGGGTTTGGGTAGCTTTCCCTGCTGTCTCTAGCTCATGGCCTTCTCCCCTGCTCTCCCCAGCCACCACACACACACCCCCAACCCCTCTCGTGAGAAGCCCTTCTCCAGTGGCACAAGTAACTCCTACCCTACTAGAGTCAGGCACTGCCTCCTCTGAGAATCCTATTTCCTGTGCAGGAATCAACTGTCTTTGTGCAGCATCCAGCCCAGGATGGGGCAGACAGTGTGCCCTCAATAAACACATGTGGAAGAGAAGGCAACTACAATGGGAAGAGAAACATAAGCCAGGAATTCAGACAAAGAAGCCCTGAGGCCTTAAGGAGGAAAGATGTGACAATGTTATGCATACGAGTTCTGAGTGTCTGCTGGAATGAGTTCTTGCCACACACCAAATACTAAATGACTTGGCATCGGTAGAAAATCCAACTAACAGTGTCAGGTACCAAAGATGTTTCCTTCTTTCATGGAAGTCTGGGGAGGAAGGTCTATTGTTCACACAGGAGCTCATTATATCATTGGGGACCCAGGCTTTACTGGTTCTTCTCAGCACATTCCATTTTTGTCCTAGTGCTGGTGGCTTCATGGCCCAGGATGGCTGCTGAAGTTCCACGCATCACGCTCACCGTGCAAGTGGTAAGGGAGGACAGAAGACTCTGAAAGGGGTGGTGGAGTGGTTCTGTTTTAATACTGGAGTGGCTCTCTCCATCTATCAGTGAAGGACACAGAAGCATCCAGCAACCTCCCTCCTACAACGCACAGACAAGGTTTTTGTGGTCACCTTTCCTGGCAGAAAAGGCTGGAAAAGGAAGTACCAAAAGGGATGACTGGCAAGGAGGCTGAGGGCTCCCCTGCAGGTCGCATGCCTCCTGGCCCATCGCTCTCTGGCTATGCATCTACTCTCCCATTCCAGAAAGTCAGTGTCTAGTGCTCCTTGTGGTTTTGAGAGAAGTAACTTACCCAAGTGGTGGCAGGTTAATTCTCTAGAAGAGAATTCTTCACGAGAAAATCTCACAAGATTTTTTTCCCCAGCTACACCAGTATCTTCTTCCAGTCCTAAACCCTTGAAGTACAGTTTTCTGTCTCAGGAAGAGCAGCACTCTTGACTCCTGGGAGAGGTCTGCACCTTCTCACTAAAGATTGTGAATTCTTTGTTTAGGTAAAACTGAATGTAAGAAGTTCAAGTTCTTTGGCAATTTACTAACACTAGTAAAACAAGTAAACCAGGACACTGTTTTAAAGGTCAAGATTAGAAAGCTCCAAAATACAAACTTTTCTACTATCAATAGTTAATTTGTTCTAAAAACTGGGGTCATAAGGACTGAAGACAAAAGATCAGGCAGAATATAAACGTGAATCAGGGGACAAGTGAGGATAAGAGAGTCTGTGAACAACATATTTTTACTTTTCCAGAAATTTGCCTTTCTTTCAACTTGCATATCAAATAAAGATCATTAAATCAAATTGTGTCAGCCAACATTTAGGAAGAGTCTATTATCTCAAGAAATAAAGACAAACACAGCATGAAGTTACAGGAATCACGCTGGAAAAACTGGCCGTGGCTGCTCTCGTGCAGGGAGGAGACAGGCAGGCATCGCAGGGCCTCTCCTCGGGGGTCGGCATGTTCTGTGCTGGGATACAGTATAGCTCCGAAGGACTCCAGCCCAACAGCACAGCTGGATTTGGGCACTGATTCCAGATGTGTCTTTCTCTTCCACTCTGACAGTAGTTAATGTGCTAAATGTCTTGATAGAGAAGGTCATATTTGGGAATATTCTTGGGGTCAATAGGACTTTGGACAATAAGCTTCCCCCTCATAGCGCCTCGGTAAATTACTTCAATCAAATCTATGAAGTCTTGTTTGGTTTTGAAACTTCCCACGAATTTAGTGTGATCTGGAGACCTAAATAGCACAGAAGAGAAATAACCTCTCTCAGAACATTTAGTAATTACTTGCTGAAGAACTGCAGAAGAAAATGAGGAGCAGCTCTGTTACTTTCTTCCTACTGGGAAGATTCAGACATAATGCCTGACACTGACTTCTTCATTTGTGATTGCAGCGCCCACTGCACTAACTTCAGCTCTGTGGCTGTGGGGAGAACAGATAAGCCCACCTGTGAAAAGCTTCTGCATCACAGTCTATTTTAGGAGGCCAAGGCCCTATACAGTAGGCTACTTTAATCCAAAAGTCTTCTTTAATCACGTCTCAAGTCATGACCAAGTAGAATCCCCTGGTGTTGATGTGGACATAGAGAGTTTACTTGTTTTCGGCTAGGTGCTGTGCACAGCCCATTAACTAGTCGTCCTCTCTGAGTTCTACTCATTCATAATTTTGAGTGGTATTAACATTTACTTTAATTTTTACATTTCAAAAATTAAACATGTTAATTGTAGAATTTTTCTAGAAGAAAAAACTGTTAGGTCAGAGGCCACATTTTGGTGTATACCCTCCCAATCTTGTGTACACATTTATTCCTCTTTGCATAATAATGTAAATCATCATACAAGTTTCTTTAGAATATGCTTTTCTACCCAAAGTCACTTTTCTTATAACAATAACAAAAATAAAACAAAGTATCCACCAACAAAAGAAAATCTTTATAGCATGTGCTTTTTTAAACTGACATAACATAACATGTCTTTTCCTGTATTAAAACCTGCACCTACAATTTCACGTTGGAGTGTTATCTATATCTATATTGCTCTGTAGTATTTTACTTTCTAAGTAATGGTGGCATGAATTTTGCCTACTTGCACAATCATTTTCCTTCAGACAAATTCTTCAAAAATGCAATTGCTGGGTCAAAAATTTTGCACTTTTAAGGCAAAAAATGTAGTGTTACAGTTACTCCTCTAAAAAGTATACTAAATTAGTATTTTCATTGACTGTCTTCTAGCAGGATAGCATTAGAAAACGTAAAACACATAATAGTACATAAATAATAGATAACAATTTTATTATTTTGAATAAATAATAACAATGAAGGTACACAGAGCTAGACAGTGGACACTCAACACAGCGAGAAATGGTAAGAATTATGGGTATGTTCACCATAATTACTGAGAATTGGGATGCTGACTGAATGGAAAGAGGAAAGATTTCACAGTACTTATTCTTGAGAGACTTCACTGACTAACAACTTCAAAATTCTCTGAGATGCAAAAGAGAGGAAAGTTGGCAAGAGAGAGGCATTGCTTTATTTTGCTGGATGGAAACTTTTTTTTTTTAATAAATGCAAACTACCAGTCCCAGAAGTTAAGAGTTACATATTTTGTTCTAAGTAAGATTCCCAGGAAACTTTTAAAAAAGCTGTTCTATATTTTCTGTGCTGAAGGATGGTTACTTAGTGTTTCACAAAGTACATTTTTCTTTCACACTGAAGTAGGATGTTAAAATTTGCCCATTTTACTAAACAAAAGTACTCACTTTGTACCAAAGTTTGTCATAAATAGTTAGAGAATGTGTCAACTAGGAAAACAACACCACTATGAGATCCACACCACCGTCATATGCCAAAAAAAGATGAGTTGCTCAAGTTGCTTAGATAGAAGTCACTTTGAAGATGGCAATAATTATGTCAGTTGAACTTACCCATAATCCACTTTCATATGCTGCCCGTTGAAAAAAAATACAGTTGATGGAATATAACTGATGTCAAAATAGTGTGTATAAACTGGAGTCTGGTCCACATCCACCAGATAAATAGCAGCCATTTTACTCAAATCAGGAGAAGTCTTAGAAAGCTGCAAACAAGAAGAGAGATGCAGATTATAATATTAAGGGTAGCTAATGTTTCTGTTGTGAAGCATTTTTAAAAAACATTTATTTATTTATGCATACATAACTAGGGTATAGACCAGAGGTGCAGGGAAGGTGAAAGAATTCACCAGAGACAGAGTGGGGAGCAGAACAGGCAGATTAACAAAGTACAGTGCTGAGGGGAGCAGTGGGTGAGACAGGAAAGGTCTGCTGCACCATGTGGGTCACCTCCAGGTCTGGGGACTGAACTCACCCTGAAGCGGCTGCGGCTAGCTTAGAGTGTTGCATTTTAACCCATTAGGCCACCAAGGAGGGCGTGAAGCTTTTTATTAATAATACAGCATTTTGTTTGAAAATAAATTCTTGGGGCAAGAATCTAGTGCATTTTGAGTTCCAGGTAAGACACAGTGTGACCTCATCATTCAGAATCTGGGTCACTCTTGATAAGAGTAATTACAGGGTGCTGGGTAAAATGTGCACAATACATTTCTTCCTTTACTTTTCTATTTTGGATTCTGAAATAGTTTTTGTATGGATTTTTTGTAAAGTCTTTGTATGGATTTACAAAACCCATGCTCACTTAAACAATCAAACAAAAATCCCAAAAGACCTGAGGTACTGAAATTCCTTAAAATCTTTCCTACTAATCTCTCCAGGTAGATAACAATAGCAAATACTTACCTAGCACTTAGTATGTACTGACTGTTCTAAGTGCTTTCAATTCTTCATTTTTTAAAGATTTATTTATGCATACAGAACTGCGTACAGGCCAGTGAGAGGACTCACCAAAGACAGAGTGGAGAGCAGAACAGGCAGACAGACAAAGTACACTGCTGAGGGGAGCAATGGGTGAGACAGAAGTGGTATATTGTGCCATGAGGATCACCTCCGGGTCTGGAGATTGAACTCACACTGAGGTGGCTAGCTTGCAACGCTGTGTTTTAACCCGCTGCGCCATCAGGAAGGGCCCCCACACGGTCATTTTTAAGCCACTATAATGACGACTTTCACACTAGATCCACACAGTGGGTGTCAGCAATAGACATGGTAGAAGAACTCTGGGTAAATGCCTTTATTGGGTAAATCCCAACAAATAGGCAAGAATGAAGCTACCCTAAACAGAAATTCACTATGTGAAGATATGTTGTGACATCAGAGACTATTATCAGGCACACACTGGAGGCAGCACACTAGAAAGTGTATTTTGGTAGAGAAAAGAAAGTTCAAACCCCAGTCCTGTAGTTTAGTGGTTTTGTGCCCAAGGGAAGTTACCTGACCTTCCTAGTACTCATCTCCTGTCTGGGATAGTAATGGTCATTATTCCACTATGGAAGATTGTCTTCACAGATGCTTGTTAATAATGTTCCTGTTGTTCCAGGGCGTTGCTGATGAAATTGAGCTTTGACAGATGTAAATGGGTAAGGGCAAAATAGGACAGAACAAACAGAACACAGAACACAGAACACAGGTTTGGGGATTCATCTGGGGTGAGCACACGTAGCTTGAAAGTGCTAATACACGTACAGCTATACCCCTGGGTCCTGCTTTATTCCCTTTCAGGTCAGATCTTGAGGTGAAAGTATACAGATTTTTTTAAAAAAGATATTATTTTTATCTATGCATACGGAACTGGGGTACAGGCCAGAGGTGCAGAGGCGGTGAGAAGATCCACCAGACAGACAGAGTGGGTAACAGAACAGGCTGACTGACAAAGTACACTGCTGAGGGGAGCAGTAGGTGGGTCAGAATAGGTCTGCTGCACCATGTGGGTCACGTCCAGGGCAGGCGGGGATCGAACTCATGCTGAATTGGCTTTGGCTTCGTAGTGCTGTGCTTTAACCCGCTGTGCCACTAGGGAGGGCCCCAGAGAGTATACAGATTTTTAAAAAACCTGTTATTTAATAAATTCACTTACAATATCATCTAGTTGCATACAGACGGGATCTTTATCTCTCCCAAACCTGAGGACCAACACCTTCTCTGCAGTACTTTTTATCGCCTGGTCTACTTCTTTTTTGCTAGTCAGCTTGGGCAACAGGAAGCTCATCTTGCAACAATCCAGATGTTACTACTATCAGTCCTGAAATAAAATCCCAGTGATTAAAGACAGGTTAACAGCACAAGTCCAATTAAAACAAACAAACAAACAAACAAACAAACAAAAAACCACAAAAACATTTTGGAGTAGATAATACAGTCACCACACAGAAAGCTGTATTGCATAAAGTCGCTCTCCCTCAGGCCAGCTCCCACTGTCCCATTTCTCTCTATACAACGGGTGATTATTTTTCTTACTTTCTTATGTATTTTTCAGTTTTCTTATGCAGCCACAAGGAAATATACATTTCTCTGTTTTGTACCTTTAAAAATTAATTTTACTTATATATATCTTACATCATTCTTTATTTTTGTACAATGTATACTTTCTCCTCTCAGATACAGTCCTCATAAAACCCCCACCACCAATTCACCTGTGTACCATCACTTAGTCCCTTGTGTCCTTCCCTCCCCTGTTTTGATGCTGCCTCATCTCCTGCAAAGTGTCTTTGATTTATAGTTGCCTGTTAATTGTTTTTATCATACTTTTTTTTTCCTGATCCCTCAAAATGGATAAAAGAACTGTACATAACACCTGAAGCCATAAAATATATAGAAGAAAATACAGGTAGAATACTATATGGCATACATCTTAATAACATCTTTAAAGACTCATCCCCAAAACAAAGAAAGTGAAGGAAAAAATAAACAGTGGTGATTATATCAAACAAAAAGCTTCTGTCAGCAAAAGAGACACTAACTAAAACAAAGTGACACCCAACTAATTGGGAGAAAATCTTTTTACTACATACTATTGATAATGGACTGACCAAAAGGATCCACAAGAATTCACACACAAAAGCATCCAGTCAAAAAATAGGCAAAATAGGAGAGTGCTAAAAAGACACTTTGCTAAAGAGGAAATGCAAAAGGCCAATATGTATATGAAAAAAAGTTCAATATCCCTTATAATCAGGGAAATGCAAATCAAAACCACAATGACATACCAGTGAGAAAGGCACATGTTAAAAAAACTAGCAACAACAAATGCCTTGTCCCTTTTAAAAAATATTTTTATTTATTTATTTATTTATCTCATTCTTCATTTTGTGCCTTTTTCATCTCGGTTGTAATCCCGTGGACTTCCACCACCAGTTTACCCATGTACCATCACCATAGTCCCACTCCTCCCACCCCAGTTTTGTCCTATTCCCCTCTCAACCCCCATAAAATATCTCTGGTTTATAGCTGTTCGTTGTTTATTGTTTTTACTTTATAATAATTGCTTCCCCCCCCCCCCATGATCCCTTATGCTCCTGCTATGAGTGAAGCCATCCAGTCTTTTTCTTTCTGGCTAATTTCACTAAGCATGATCTCTTCAAGCTCATGTTGCTGCAAAAGGCTTGAGTTTATCTTTTTTGATTGCTAAGTAATATTCCATTGTCTATATGTACCACATCTTCTTAATCCACTCATCTATTTTTGGGCATCTGTGTTGACTCCACGTCTTCCCTACTGCAAACAGAGCAGCAATAAACATGGACATGCAGGTGTCCTTTCGAATCAATGTTTTTATGTCCTTTGGACAGATACCTAGGAGTGGGACTGCTGGGTCATATGGAAGCACCCTTTGTATATAGAAGGGAACTTCAATACACCACTCCTGTCCCTTTTTTTTTAAACCCAAAGATCCATTAAGTATTCCAGCAGAAAAGAGATGGCAATTTGAAAAGGCTTCCACTGAGGCAGAAGAACAACAGAGGCTTGGAGGGGGGTCAGAGGTGGGGGACCTCAAGGAGCCCTGGGAGGGTATAGTTACAGTGTTGTGTGGTGGAGCTTGCTAAGTGCGAGGGCTGCCATATAAGACGTCAGCCTGAGTCAAGGGAGGCAACCCTCTCCCCACTCTGACTGATTCCATATAGATCCAGAGGGCAAGAAGCTGCAGCATCAGACAGACCTCCTGGCCCAGTAAATAGTCCAGAGAGGGAGAAAGAGTGGTTCTTAGGTTCAAATGATAGAACACACTTCCCTCTTCAGTACTTTGTATTTTTTTACCTGACAAATGAAGATATTCCCATATGTCTATATAGAAAACTTCCACAATCTTTCTCATTGCAGCATACCATTTCATGCATGTGCCATACTTTTTAAGCTGCTCTTTACTGATGGACATTAGTATTATCCTAAGTCTTGGCTTAAAGATTGGTATATATAACAAACAGATCAGTGAAGGGTGTTATGAAAACCACAATTAAGTAAGCAAGTTGTAAAATACTATGATTGAACGGGCCAAACTCAATGCTCTTGTTTTATAGACCTGCTGGATTATAGTTACACCTCTAGCTGCAAGAACAGGACTAGAATCAAGGTGACCAAATTTCTAATCGAATGTTCCTTCCATTACAATCAGTGCCTGTTTTTATGACTGGAAGAATTTCCTTTTTGAGAAACTCAGTGATCAAGGATCAATACTTTTATGTCTATTGAGACTCTTAATATTTAGAATTCAATTTCAAAGTTCAAACACTGGAAAGGAAGGATTTCTTCTTTTTTTTTTTTAATTTGAGACAGGTCAAATTTTAAGACATGATTAATAAAAATTCCTATAGGAAATGAATTGTTTCAGCAGTATAAACACTTAAAAAAAAAAACAGCTGACTGTCAGAGGGATCATCTAGTATGAATGGCACAACAAATTACTGTTGAAAGGCAAAGTCAAAGACGAGACATCTGACCCATCACTAGAATTCAAACAAATGGCACCTTCTGTATGTTACTGACAAAGAGGAGGAAATCAAGAGGACAAACCTTTTACCAAGGAGGGAGAGAGGGGTGAGTACTGGATAAATGTTGGAAGAAGGGAGGAAGACTGAGAGCCCACCTAAGGAAGTGTCCATAAATTGCAAAGGGCACCCACAAAAAAGGAACTTATTTGGGGAATTAAGCTTTACTAGTAAGCAAAGAAAAGCAAATTGAGATACATTTAAAAATTATTAATTTGCAAAGATTAGACAATAGTGCCAGCAATGTGAACCAAGATGCAGGCATTCAGTCTGTTGGAATGTAGAGGAGCAAAACTTTTCTAAAAATAAAGTTGAAATACTCTTTGGACAACAATTCCACTTCTGAGAATTAATTCTTAGTGAGAAATCAGACGTGCACAAAGATTTACGTACAAAGGATACTCATCATATTTGTAATGGTGAAAACAACTTAAACAGCTGTCAGTAATGGATTTGAAGCATAAATGACATTTTAGTCCCTCAGAGACTTACTTCACAGCCACTAAGTATTGTGCTAGACATGAATGTCTGTTACTGAAACGTTATGATAGAGGGAAAAAAAAGTTAAAAACCGAATCTAAAGTGTGACCCCCCCCCACTTTTGCCAAAAAACAAAATGGAAAATTAACTAAAAATAATTATACCAAAACACCACCGAGCGGTTACTTCAGCCGCGCGTCCTGGTTTTTCCAAAACACCCAATATACACATATTTTGCTTGTTTGACTAATGCCCATAACTGGCTACTCCTGGCCTCAAGTGCTAGGGGAGAAGATACTTACCCTACTTGTACACGTCTCCTCTTTTCCCCTTCAGGGCAGTCCGCTACTGCGAAGTCTCCTCAGAAAAGCCAGGAAGCCAGTGGCTCTTTTCTCCCGCTGAAAACCCACAGCCATACCAGAGAGGAACCACTCGGAGTTGCCTAGCAACTCTCGGCTGACCAGTTCGGGGGACCCAAGCGGAAAAAAAAGCGCTCAGGGGTAGTAGTGTCTGCTCAACAACCCAATAAACAAAAACTATTCCACTCACCGCCACTATACCCGGCTCCGACCGGAAGCCATTCATCTACTTCCGCCCTTATTAAACATGACCGACCTCTTCCCCTCCGCCTTCTCAGACTATAGGCGGGCCCTCGCCTGAGAGTGTTTGGTCTCAAGGAAACTCGGAAGTGTCTCTGATCAGACCCCCAGAGGAGGTCACTTTCGCCTTGACGGCCGGCTCCCGTTCCCTTCCACACTTGGAGCCAGGACCCGGCGTCTTCCGGCTACTCTCGATGGTGTCCGCTGGAGGATAGAGTGGGCCGCGCAAGGTTTTATGGGACAACAATGGCGGCTTTCAAGGAGTGGATTTTGGCTCCCTAATGCGATCTGAACGAGGGGTGAAGGCACCGGCACCCCAGAATCCGGGACAGAGGGTCCCGAGAGTCGGACTTGGTGAGGTGAATGCCCCTTCTTCCCTCCTGACCTGCTTATCGCCAACCACGGCGGCTCCAGGATGCCCATAGCGGCCTCTCGCCCAGGATCGGGCCTGGTTTTGGGAAGCCTCCTCGTCTCCCAGCTTGCTTTACTCACCGTAGGGAAGCAGCGCCAGGCTTGCCTGCCCCAGCGCTTCGCTTTGCGCCGGTCAGATCTTGCTGCTTGTTGTGGCCTCGCAGAGGTCGAGGGATTTCTGCTTGGGGGTCGGCCTCTGTTCTTTCTGTGGCCTCCACGTTACCCCATTCCCAGACGGACGCGTACGGCTGCGTCTCTCTCACAGTGGGATTTGGAGCGGGCGATCTCCACTACTAGAAGGTGCCAAGAGCGCCAGAATTCTCGTTTTGTTCACTGCTCTACCTAGAACAGTGGTTGTTGAATGAGTAAATCTAGTTTCTTCATTGTTTTTCTTCGTAAAAAGCCTTCGTGGCTATTTATTTATTGGCCACTAATCCTCCTCTAGTATTCAGCTTTTAACTCCTTGTTTCTAGCAGCTAGTTGAATTCTATCTGTCCGACTCCTTATCCTCTGCCGCTTTTCTTTTGCTGTCTGTAGAAGTGTTCGACTTCCTGTTCTCCTTTGCTTATTATTATATGCATTAAATTCATTCATCCACATATTCTTCAAACGTGCATTTTTCGAACAGTCAGCAAGTTTCTGTCTGACGCATTGAATGACTACTCTTGAGCAGAGCCTGTGTTACCTCTACCTTCTGTGTCTATTCCTTCAGGTTGGTGGGATGTCACCTATAATGTAGCTTTCCCTTTTCTGGCTGGTGGCATTTTTCAAAACGTGATTTTCGTTTCTGTGTCTGTACTGTATGTCTGGTATATTTGGCCTAGAGCTGTGCATGCTAACTAGAGCTGGGCAAAATATTCTGCATTCTGATAGTACAGAATGACAGTTTGTGTCATTGATTTAATGGAATGAGCACTAGTATATGTTTATAAGTGGATGGAGTGTAGTGGGAGGTAAAGGGGGATTTGTTAGAAGTTGAGACAAGATCTTATAGTCAGCTGAAGACATTTTGGAAACCCTATTTCTTTAATCCTTCTTATTAATATTTTTGAGGAACATGTATTGTCACTAAAGATATACCAGCTGCTGTGAGGTAATTTTTTTTCCTACAGAACACAGGTGATCTATGAAAAAAAAGCTACTGAAGTATATATTGATAGATGACACCACAGCTTTAGACCCCAGCAACTCTATTTCACTGTCTCTACTTTAAAGAATGAGAGAGGTAGAAATCATGCACTCTTAGTATATGGGAGCATGGCAAATAATGGAACCCATTTTTGTAACTCCTAATAGCTACAGAGTTTTCATGTATATCTTGTTTAATCTTACAATAACTTCATGGATTAGATAAAGCAAAAGTAGGGCCCTTCCTGGTACAGCCCGTTAAAGTACAGCTCCGTGAAGCTGCGAGTTTGATCCCCACCCAGGAGCTGGCTCACATGGCGCAGCAGACCTCTCCTGTTTGCCCACTGCTCCCCTCAGCAGTGTACTTTGGCAATCTGCCTGTTCTGCTCCCCACTCTGACTTTAGTGAAGTCTCTCACTGCCCCTGCAGCTCTGGCCTGTACCCCAGTTCTGTATGCATAGATAAATCTTTAGCTAAAGCAAGAGTAGTTTCCATTTTACAAATATTAACATGATATCTGTTTATCAAATTAGGTTATATGCTTACAATCATGTAGGGAGAAAGTGTCAGGACCTTGTATTCCAATTCAGGTACTGACTTTCCCCTGATATTACTCTCTTATTAGAGGCCATCATGCTGCAGTTAGTGTCTTATAGTGAGGTCTCTTGCCCAGATGATAGTTTGGATCTTAGTATTTGGGATGTGTATCTATTTCTGATATGTGTTGGGGTAATAGGAGGAGGATTTTTGAGATTTCCAGTGGACAAAATGCTGATATCCTTGATGGTAAAATCTTGGCAAGAGGTAGCTAATGAGATCCTGATCCTGAGGAGAAAATTAACCTCCTGACTATACCTTTTACTACAGTGTCTGGGATACAGCAGAACTGAGCCTTGTCTAGTCCTGTACCAAATGGTTTGTCTTCTTTCCATAGCAACCCTAGAGCCTGTAATGGCGGATATCAGTGAGGATGCCTCAATCCATCGATTGGAAGGCACTGATCTGGACTCTCAGGTTGGCGGTCTCATTTGCAAGACCAAAAGTGCAGCTAGTGAACAGCATGTCTTCAAAGCCCCTGCACCCCGGCCTTCACTGCTGGGACTGGACTTGCTGGCTTCCCTGAAACGGAGGGAGCGAGAGGAGAAAGATGATGGGGAAGACAAGAAGAAATCCAGAGTCTCCTCCTATAAGGACTGGGAAGAAAGCAAGGATGACCAGAGGGATGCTGAGGAGGAGGACAGTGACCAGGCTGGTCGGAGTAACCGAAAAGACAGGTGAAGCCTTAGGATGGGTTCTGATCCAAAGGGAATACAGACGGAGGCTAGAAAATAAAGTCCCATGTTTATCTCTTAGTTTTTGGTTAGATATTTAGGCCTTATGATTTTACTATGATTCTATACTATTGAGGGTAGGGAGGAATTGGGTTTTTCTTCAGATCTGTGGGGGAACTTTCAAAGGCAAATGTTAAAGAATAGATTATGGAGGTGATAGATGATGGAGAAATGCTTTGGGTTGTTGTCACATGTAAGCCCACAAAACCAGGGGGATAAGTAGAAAAAGGTAGGAAATGTGTTTGGTGTAGTCAGAGGATTTAGGGCACAGTCTTTCTCCAATGGAGGCCCTTTACTGGTTGTCTTCTCATTTTCAGACATTATCGATCTGCTCGGGTAGAGACTCCATCCCATCCTGGTGGAGTAAGTGAAGAGTTTTGGGAACGGAGTCGGCAAAGAGAGCGGGATCGGCGGGAACATGGTGTCTATGCCTCATCTAAAGAAGAAAAAGATCGCAAGAAGGAGAGATCACGGGATCGAGACTGTGACCGCAAGAGAGACAGAGGTAAACTGCCTAGGCTTGTTTCTGTTGCCTGTTAAACATTTGCATTAACATCTTGAGTTTTCCATTAATTAGGGAGCTCGGGTTGTATAAAACCATCCTGGTTGGTTGTGACCCTGTGGGGATTGGGAATAGCAGGCAGTTTAAGGGAAGAGCTGTTACTTACAATGTTACTTCTTTGCTTGAGCTTGTGGTCCTCATTTTATTATGAAGATTAGTGATAAAGGTGACCGGGGTAGTGTGTATGAGGACACATAGATGACAGAGTGTTGCCGACACAGAAAGGACAGTGCTAGGAAACAAAACTAGACAAAATCCAACTTGAACTTTCCTCAGTACTGCTGAAGTTTTATAGTTTATAGACTTGTAATTAACTATTAAATATAGGCTTGTAACTATTCTTTTTTGAATTCTTGCAGGAAAATAACTGTTACTATGAGTTTGAAACTTTCTAGCCAGTAACTATTTTTCCCCTTGAAAGAATGGGGATATGTGAGTTTCAGAACCATGGACCGCATTAGAGCAGTGCAGGTAGCACCTGTGAGTGAGTTGGAAGGCCTGTCTTTCTCTAGGGTGAAGATGGGTGGAAGTTAGTGTGGGACACCTTTGCTAAGCTCTGCTTGTGACTCTTGACAGATGAGCGGGATAGAAGTAGGCACAGCAGCAGATCAGAGCGAGATGGAGGGTCTGAGCGAAGCAGCAGAAGAAATGAGCCTGAGAGCCCGCGACACCGTCCTAAAGGTAGGCTGAACGCTCTTGGTGCAGGATTTTGAGGGGTCAAGTGTGTAAAAGCAGGGTCAAGCGATTCCCAGCCTCAGTGGGATTGCTGTAGGCAATTAGGATCTCTGGAGTACTTGGTTCGAGTCAGGTGGGAAAGCTGGGTTTCTCTGTTGAGATAGATTTGCTCCTTGAGGCCAGTTAATGACTGATATTTCAAATGGCAGAAGAATTGGGGTTGGGGCATGGAAGGGATGGGCTGGAAGGATTTATTACAAAGAAATACTTATCATCAAGAGGGGCATGTTTGCAGAGACAAGTTGGATTTCCTTAAAATCTTATAAACACAGATGAAAACTATTTCTTTAAAAACTGTTAGAGCCATCTTTTCCATTATAAATAGGACAAAATCTGTAAGAAAGGAAGGCAGGGAAGTGACTTTTGGCTAATAGTTGCATCCTAGTTAAATAAGATGTTCCCTGTGGATGTGTCTGTTGTGGCCCCAGATGCAGCCACCCCTTCCAGGTCTACCTGGGAAGAAGAGGACAGTGGCTACGGCTCCTCACGGCGCTCACAGTGGGAATCGCCCTCCCCAACACCTTCCTATCGGGACTCGGAGCGGAGCCATCGGCAGTCCAGCCGAGATCGAGACAGGTGGTGTTCCCAGTCCTTTCCCACCTCTGGGTGGGAGAAGGTGGCATAATGAGAGCAGAGGGGTCTGGGTTGCAGATATTCACCCTGGCCGCGTGTCTTACCTTGGTGATGGGCGGTGAGGCAGATCTTGCTGTTTGTTATCCAGGTCTGTGAGGAGTAAGTACTCAGATGACACTCCTCTGCCAACCCCATCCTACAAAT